CCATGGAGACCCTTGATTTTACATTTCAGGTTGCCCCTCTGTGAAAACATCTGGTCGCCTTGTGGGGACTTCTATGGTGCCACTGGTGTAGGAGATTTTTCTCTTATCTGCTTTGTTTTAAAGGTTTCTGTCTGTCAGCCATAGTCTGGAGCTCCTTTCTGTCTGTCTGTCCTGTGTCTTTGTTTCTGGCCCTTTAGACATGTGCAATAGTGTGTTGATATTATAAATTGTCTCTTGGGAATGGTCTTGGCTGAATGTGTGTCTAAAAGATGATGTTTTATTATAACAATCTGGTATCTGAATGAGTTTTTGAAACATTGCACAATCTTGCAGTTCAAAGTTGGGTTTAGGTAATTGTTTAGTTTATGATTTCAGATAATTCATGCCAGAGAACTTAAATACTTAGGATGGAAAACTAAAGAACTCTACTTCCACATTGGCAAGTAACTTCCCAATCATTCATTTTTTTTTCACCAATTTTGAATTGGGTAGCCTGGGAAAATGTCACTGTGTGTACCAGTACATTAATTTGGATAAGGATAGTAAATCATAGTATGGTATCTGTTGACAAAATAGTTTGTAAAGATATAAAATTTTGTGAATTATCTTAAACTTGATTCATAATTTTCAACGTCCAAACCTGAAAATTATGACTTATGGTTAAAATGCCTTAGGCCTGAAGTGTCTGCTCAGAATAGCAGTTTTTCCCTGCTCTTTCCAGACCTGAGGCAGGACTTATGTTGAAATGCAAATGCAAGAAGCCTGTAAGCTCAGTAGGAGAGACTGATCAGAGGCCTAAGGAAAAAAAAAAGTAAATTGTATGGTATTTACTAATTACTGGCCAGTCATTTTTTCTAGGACTCTTGTTTATTCCTTAGATTCTGTATTTTTTTGAGCTCATGATTTTCATCCTACAGACCTAGGTTAATGTTTTTCTGATCAGTTTTATCTTTGACCAACTGTGGAGTTTTTGAAACATTGCAATGGAGATTTTACCTGAGAAAAGCTACAAGGCCTTTACTATTATTATGTGTGCACACTTGTGTTATGTGTTGTATGTCTCTATATACATATGTCCGTATATCATATATATGATATACAAATTAACATATATAAGGAGTGCTCATAAAAACAAATTAAAAAATGGATCCAAAGATCTTTAATTAACGTGATTTTAATGGTTCAATTTAAATTGGATAAACAGATAAAAATAAACGTCTTTAAATTTAAGCTTACAAGATTTTCTATGTGTTCAAAAAAACTAATAAAATATTAATGTCTATAAAATGTCTAATATGTCTTGGTTCTAAGGCTTTTCTTTCAACAAGAAAAAATGGTTAACACTGTTCAATACATTTGCCTAATATTTGGTAAATAAGTAAAGTAAATTTGATCATGAGTACTTTTGTTAGATAGCTGCTTGATTTACTATATAAGTTTGTATAAGTTTGTTTTTACAATCAGTCATGTATTAAAAAGAAAAAAATTTCTTAAAACATAAGTTTACCCATAACATTGTGTTTATTAAGTTTTATTATTTTCTAGAGCAAGCAACAATAAAAATGAAACAACTGGTTAAATAAGAACTGTTATTTTAGAGCATTGTACTGTCATTTCTTTAAAAGCTAAGCTTGGTTAATATAAAAACATCAATGTAATTGTGATGCTATTAATGTGCTCATATCTTCCAGGTATACAAGTCTATAAGGTAGAAACTTTAAAGAGCATTATATCAAGCTGGTGTTCTAAAGTTGTTTGGTA